ATAAGGGCAAATCTGTTATTCCTTCTCTTTTGTATGGTTCAGACTTTGTCACCTCACCAAAAGACAAAGCTGAATTGTTTGCTAAGAACTTTTCATCAATATCATCTCTTGATTCCACTAGTTGCGTTTTACCTGACATAGCCGTCAAACAGGTTGATCCCTTGCTTGACATTCGCATCACTTCAGCTTCTGTATCTAAAGTAATTTCCTGCTTAGACTCTTCAACAGCTTGTGGTCCTGGCAACATTCCTGTTGTAGTCTTGCAGAGGTGTTCTCCGGAGCTTTCATCCATATTTTCTAAACTATTTAACAAGTGCTTATCAGAGTCTTGTTTTCCATCATGCTGGAGAGCAGCATCTGTTATCCCTATTTTCAAAAATTCCGGAGAGCGATCTGATTCATCTAACTACCGTCCCATTAGTCTTCTTCCTGTCATAAGCAAGGTTTTTGAATCTTTAATCAACAAACACTTAATCTCTCATCTTGAATCAAATAACTTACTTTCTGATCATCAATATGGATTTCGGTCTTCTCGTTCTACAGCTGATGTGCTAACATTAATAACCGTTAGGTTTTACCGTGCATTAGATAGAGGTGGAGAGGTTAAGGCTATCGCACTTGACATTTCTAAAGCTTTTGATAAAGTTTGGCATGCTGGTCTTCTCCATAAGCTTTCTTCTTATGGTGTAGCTGGTAATATCTTTAAGATTATTGAGTCCTTTCTTTCCAATCGTAGTATAAAAGTTGTCCTCGATGGACAACACTCTTCTTCACATCCTGTAACTTCAGGATTTCCTCAAGGTTCAATCCTTGGCCCTATACTCTTTTTAATTTACATTAACGATCTTCCAGATATTCTCACATCTAAGGTGGCATTATTCGCTGACGACACTACCATTTACTCTTGTCATGATAAGAAGCCTACACTCTCTGATTGTTTGGAGGGGGTATCTGAGCTTGAAAAGGATCTCACTTCTGCTACAGCATGGGGCTCGCAGTGGCTGGTGAACTTTAATTCAGATAAAACTCAATTTTTTTCGGCCAATCGTTATCGTAATAATTTAGATCTTCCTATATTTATGAACGGTAATGTACTAGATGAGTCATCTACCATTCATCTTCTAGGATTAACTCTTACTTCTGATCTTTCTTTTAAACCGTATATCAAATCCATTGCAAAATTAGCATCTGCTAAAGTTGCATCTCTTTATCGAGCTCGACACTTTCTTACTTCAGATTCTATTCTCTATCTCTATAAATCTCAAATCCGTCCCTGTATGGAATACTGTTGCCACATCTGGGGCGGATCTTCTAATGATGCTCTTTCTCTTTTAGACAAGGTGCAAAAACGAATTGTAAACATAGTTGGACCTGCTCTGGCAGCCAATCTCCAACCTTTGTCACATCGTCGTAATGTTGCTTCTCTTTCTCTTTTCTACAAATACTATAATATGCACTGCTCTAAAGAGCTAGCGTCCCTTGTGCCATCTACTAAAATTCATTCTCGTGTTACCCGCCATTCAACTAAATCTCATCCTTTTTCTGTGACTGTTCCTAAGTGCTTCAAAAACTCTTATTCTTCTAGTTTTTTTCCTCGAACATCAGTTTTTTGGAATTCGCTTCCTTCATCTTGCTTTCCTGATTCATATAATTTGCAATCTATTAAGTCATCAGTCAATCGTTATCTTGCTCTACCGATTTAGTCTTTTCTCTTCCAGTAACTTCCAACTCTTATAGTGGTTGCTTGCAGCCTTGTTGGAAGTGAAGATGTTAAAAAAAAAAAAAAAAAAAAAAAAGATCGTTAATATTCTCACTATATCAAAATATGCATTCTTCTTATTACTCAAAAAAAATAAAAACAATCTCGATCTGGCATCGGATTCCAACCCAGGACCTTTCAATCATGGGGCCGGTACTCTGCTGCCGATGCCAGCTTGAGATCGCAAAATTTATGAATGATTTTATCACAATGATAAAAGACAAATAAAAGAAACATGGTTATGAATCATTTATTGTACCTATTATGCTTACGAACAACTTATTTTCTTCCGGATTGCATTTGTCTGACTTTTTTTGAGACAATACGTCTTTTGTCGACTATCTTATTGGTGGTGTCCTTCAATCCTCTTTCTAATGGAAGCCATTTGTGAAGTTCTGATTTGTTTCTTCGGTTTTTATCTGATTTTTCTGGCAACTATACGTCTTTTGAAGTATAATTTCCTTTCAATCTTCTTCAGTACTCTGTTGACTTGAAGCCAGATCTCAAGAGGTCCCATCTCAAGCCTGTTAGCTGTAGTGAAGTTGTTCAGTCCTTTTTCAACTTCAAGCCTGTCCTGAATCAGGAGGTCTTCAAATAGTGGGTCCGGCGCAATGCTTGTTGTTTCTGTAGTATTTATGACTGGCCAAAGACTAAATGCCAAAGGCCAAAGACCAAAGATGTTCATGGTGAAAAAATTTAGCCTTAACTGCAAATAGTTAACTGTTCATCTGAATAACGCGGATAAACTGGCGTACATTTAGCGTTAGCATCTTATCAGTTGTCCAAAGTAAATATGAGTTACGAATAACTCCCCCCAGATTGAGCACAGTGTTTTGAAAAATAACAAAAACAGATCAACCGCTTGTGAAACGGCCTATTTTTCGCTGGGGGGAGTTTGTACAAATCAGCTGACCAGTTTATCCTGACCCATTAATTCCCTTAGTCCCTTAAGGCATTTCTCTCTCTCTCTTTATGAATGTTTTTTTAAACAAAAAACAAAACCTAAATTTCGAATCCCTGTCAGGACTCAAACCTCGGTCGTCCAGGTGAGAAGCAAGTACTATAACCACTAGACAGGAACCCCAAAGAGGTTCCAAAAAATGAAGTATTTTAAAGAGACCCCCAAGGGGTTAGCCTACAAAAGTTTCTTCTTCACCCGCGGTACAAAATGTACAAAACTCGGGAAATCATAAAAGTGTTATCAAAGGTACAATCTGTTTATTTAGTCAATTTATAAGAAAAATACATGAAAAATGAAAGTAGATGTAAAAATAATAGGAAATAGAAAGCCATTTCCAGTCAATTTTTTCAGGCGTAGAACAGCCGATGTCGCGTAGTAACCCGTGTCCTACATACGGGACACAAATAGACGCCCTCGGATTCATCGTCAAGTCCTTGGGCTTCGAGAAGAGCTGCACATGTTGAACACACGCAGACATGCCCGCACGGCAGTAGTATTGTGTCCTTGGGGCTCGCTATGCAAATGCAACACGGTTCTGCTGCTGGACCTGCGGCGGCAGGACCTGCGGCGGGACCTGCGGCGGCGTGACCCGGTTGCTGTTGTCCATCTGCCTGTGGCCCTGCGGCTGCCAGGAATGCGTCATCATCTCCGTGTCTGAAAGTATTGAACACGTTTTAAAGATAAGTTTTTAATGAACACATTTTAAAGATAAGTTTCATATGAAATTAATCAACATCGTATTATAAATAGAAATTACTAGAAAATGATTGAAATTATACTTGATATACTTACTCGTCAAAGACTTCGTCGTCGCCATCCTCATCATCGGCGTAGCCATCGGCGGCCATTTCTGCTGCCCGCTCTGCATCGGCCTCATCCTGATCTGGGTCATTCGGAAGAACCGGAGTGGGCACTCTGTGGGCCATAAAATTGAGGTGTTGAATGGGGGTGATTTCCCCATTGGCCAGTCGCTCCTCCTGATTTTTCACAGTTCTGGCCGCTACCTGGTTCGATAATTTGATGTCCCTCCGGATCCTGATGTTGTTGTCCAACTGTAGGACATCGATCTTTGCTGGCTCGATGACAAACATCCTCAGATCTGAGAGGAATCTCCAGATTGTCGACGCCTTTGCCAGCTTCAAAGACATTCTGAAAAATTTGGGAAAAGTTATAAATAATGAACAACAAAAATAACCAGATCGTGAATATTTTCACATTGTTAACTCAAAAATATTGTTAAGAAATAACTCACTTCTTATGGAGACTTTCGCAGACGTTGTTGGTCTTATGTGCAAGACCGTACGTAGAGATCAGCTGGCGCCCGATGCCTTGGAACCACCACTTTAAGAAGTAATTCCTGTGCATTATCTGGACTTGCTTCCGGAGTGGTTGTAAGTGGAGCACTTCTTGCTTTAGCTGTTGGAATACCGGTACCATTTGGTTCGCCGGTAGAGTGCTTAGGGCCATGTGTTTGAGCATCAGATTCCTAAACTCAACATTTTTATAGAAATCCTTCTTGTTGCGAGCACACACTTTCCGGAGAACTAAAAAGCAGTAAATAAATAACTAGTAAATAAATAGTAAATAACAAAGATAAATAACGTGTTAAAAATCAATTAAATGGTTAAAATATTATTTACCTGCTTGGCTGAAGTGAAATCTGCATCCAGACACTCTCGATTCCGGAAAGGCAGTTTGCATGGTGTTCAGGATCGCCCGTTCGTAGTCCGACATCACACTTTTTAGCTTGAAGTCCGATCCAACCAAAGCTTTGAACCGCTCCATGATCTGGCCGTAGAGTGCTTGCTCCTTGCATGTCATTAAGACTTGCATCACCGCGACAGAGTAATCTTTGTAGATGACAATGATGTTCAACAGTTGAGAAAAGATATCGTGGTGAGGCCGTGTTTTAAAGGTGGCATCGACGAAGAGTTTTTGAGTCTCTGAAACAAATACCCAAAATTATAAATTTGCTTAAAAGTAATTGTACAAAGATAAAAAAGTTGTTGTATCTAACCTCTTTAAAACAATTTAAAATTACCCAAAATGATAAATTTGATAGAACATAGTATCAAAACAATTCGCAAATTAAAGCAGTGTACTCACTTTCAACGAGAGCGAGAAGTTTTGGGTCTGCAAAAATGAATCCGACCTTCCCATCTTCAAATTCGACGAAACCTTGGTAGATGACTTCGAACGGATGTCCATTGTTGAGAGCTTCATTCATTTCTGCCAGATTCTTGGGAATCGGAGGCAGGTTCTTCCTCCACTTATTCCTCATGATGGACTCGGCAGCCTCGAACTTGAGGTTTTTCTTCACGGCCTCAGTCGACTGGCTAAGGACAGAGTTCCAAATGTCCCTCAGCGGTTCGGTAGTTTGCCCTAGAATAAAATGAATTTTTAATTAAAGATTTTAATTAAGTTAAAAATGTTAAAATTCCATTATTCACATTGGCAGATATATGTTTTCAGTCGAAATATGGCTTAATAAAAAATTCAAAAACAAATATTACCAGCTCGAAATTTCATCCGTGCCTTGGCCTGCAAAATAAGGTACTCATCACTCATGTCGCCACATGAGTGATCCTTCCCCAGGTACAGGGTATCGTCCTTAATCCTTGCAGTACCACCACATGAACCTAACAGGGTTAAATGGGGATCCCGTTAAATGTTAAGATACAATCATGATAATGGTAATGATAATAATTCTAAGATCGTGAAAATTTTCTTGAGTTAAAAAAAGTATCCTATTAAACAATTAAAAATTACCTCTTTTCACCGTGTAGCGATGGCACTTTAGATAAGTCGTTGGTCGAGCGTCTGTGCCATCCTTCGACAGCACATTCGCTTTTTGGAACTCGTCGAACCAGATAGTTGGGGAGCCTTCCATTTCATATCTGGTGTAGTTTCGGACTTCAACAACATTATGAAAGCGAGCTGGCCCAACCACTGGTTCTTGCACTTGAGCCTCTGGTGCTTGTCGAGGCTCGACCTCCATCGGCATCGCAGCCTCCACCTCCTCGACCTCCATTGCAACAGGTGCCTGAACTTCGACCTCCTCAACGGTGTCGTCCAGCCTCAATTTGAATGCAGACGTTCAACCACAGACATCAAAAGCCGTCACGAAAATGGTTGCTATTTCATTGTTGGTAACTAATTTTTTTTTAAGTACAAATCGTGGTAGACTATTTTCAACGTTCAACCACAGACTTCAAAAGTGTTGGGAATTAATTAGACGAAAGCTAAAATCTGAGATGACCCATACAAATACAACGCGACACATGTACTTTTAAGGGGAAAAAAAAAAATATATATATATATATAATACCTAATAACCTACTCAGTACTCAAACATAATAATATGAAGTCATTGTACTAACAAGAATTTATGTTATGTAAATAGGTAGATAATACTAAGTCAAAGCCAAACATGTTTAATTGAGTCCTAGTATAAGGCTAAGTACATGGCTAAGTAATAATTTCAAAACAAAAAATATAAAATACAAAAATTATGAGCTGTTATTCATTAAAATAAGTAATAATAAATCAAAAGAAGATAAAGTTAACCTTACCATAGCTTTGTTAAACGAGAAAAGAGAATTCATAACATGTGCAAATTACATGTGTAATTTGCACATGTTATGAATTCTCTTTTCTTGTTTAACAAAGTGCATCACATGTATGACGTTCACAAAAAAGTGCATCACATGTATGACGTAAGTTGCGGTAAAATGGTGAAAAGTGGAAACAATAGAAAATATGCGTTTTGAGTAAAATTTAAGAAGATTTTTATGTGATTCTTAAATGCAAGCCGATTGGTTGACAAAATTGTCAGGTGTTTTATGATTGTTGTTCTGAGTTTGGAAGAGACAAATTTAAAGAAACGAGTAAAAAATATTCATTAAAAAACAGATTCTTGGAGCACTATTATATTTCAAAACCTAATTTTACAGAACATCAATTCCCGATGCTGACCCTTCGTCTTTCAAGAAGGCGGCAATCGACAACCTATTTTCTAGTTGCTGCTTTGCAGCCCTGCGAAAGTTACTTCCGCGCCTTTTTCTTGTCCCCCTAGTTTTTCTTTCGGGGCGTAGTGTGGAGACAATTCCCTCTTTATTTCCCTCGTTGCTTGTTGTCCTGTCGTTTATTTTAATATTGGGGCATGGTGTAGGGATAATGTCCTCTTTATTGTTGGTCGGTGTTGTGTCAGCTGTTTTAGGGTTCTACGGAGAAAGACACACATGTACATATGCACACAAACATATACACACATAGATACAGCCATACATATATACATCGATAGACACACATAAATGTATGAACCCACCAAGATACATACACACACATACATACTTTCATACATATACACAGAAGCTCTTACTATTATGGTCTTACCCAAAGGTTAAACTCACAGAGCAGCATTAGAGAAGACAGCTGACCGATTTACCAATCGGTGATCGGTCCTCATTGCTAGCACCTTACACAGGGACTAGAGTAGCTGAACCGCATCAAAAGATGCAGTCGATTGAGTAATAGCTGGATTGATCACTATAATGCAGTTTAAGATTCCGCCATGTTGGACAGCAGCCAAAAGAACCAATTAGAACGAACCGTACAGTCGGGTAACCTGAAGCAAATACGGTTCATTTACCTACTGGCAAGAAGTTCCAATTGTAGAAGCCCTACACAAGGAATAAACTGGCAGAACAGCATGAAAGGACACAGTAGAATGAGTAATGACTTAATCGACTGCTAATGTGCAGTTAAAAAATTCAGCGGAGCTCGATGGCAGCTCAGAGAACCAATTAGAACGAATCGTACCCTCGGTTTACCCAATAAAAATACGATTCGTTTACCTATTGGTGATTGGTCCTCCTTACTAGCATCTTACACAGGGACTGAAGTAGCTGAACCGTATTAGAAGATGCAGTCGAATGAGTACAAATTAAATAACTAATACGCAGTTCAGAATTTAGCCGTGCTCGGCGGCAGCTCAGAGAACCATATAGAACGAATCGTACCCTCTGTTTACCCAATGTAAAATACCCAACTACATAATTTACGAATTTACAAATTTATTCAACACTGATATGCTTTTATTATCTGTTCTTTAAGTAATTCGCGCGAACTTGTTCTCAATATATTTACTTATAAATCGTCACTTTATTGTCTAGGAATGGTTGTTTATTATATATAATAGGTTATTATACTAACTGTGTTATCATATTATTTGTTATTACATTACCATTATTAGTCTATATTTTATTTTCGATAACATCTCTATTATTCCAGGCAAACCTAGAGTTGTATATATTATAAAATACTATCGCAGCCATAACCCAAACCCTTAGATCAGGGAGATACTTCCTTACGTGTTCACCCTAAATCAGTCGAAGGTTGGACTGAAGCTCTCACAACTCCCTAAGTTATTATGACGTAATCAGCTACCATAATGTCGGTACTAATAAAAATAATAAAAATTTAAATTATTTATGTATAAAACGATAACACTAAATCATAGAAACAAGGTATATGTAAGTTCTAGACGGGGGGGGGGGGGGGAAACAGATATTTCTACTAAAACGGTAATTATAAACTATAATTAGGGGAATACGCATCTTTCTACTAAAACCAAACCAAAAACCCAAAAAAAGGGGGAATAGAATATTTTCATTAAAACGGTAATAATAATAAACAAAAAATTGGAAAAAACGAATATTTCGATATAAACGGTATTAATTGGGAACTGAAATTGGGGGCAAACGAATATCTCCACTAAAACGGTATTAATTTTATCTACAAATGGGAGGAAAACGAATATTTCCACTAAAACGGTATTAATTATAAACTATAATTAGGGGAATACGCATCTTTCTACTAAAACCAAATAAATGTTGGGGGAATAGAATATTTCCACTAAAACGGGAATAATTTTAAACAAAAAATTGGAAAAAACGAATATTTTCATATAAACGGTATTAATTATGAACTAAAATTAGGTACAAACGTAGTTTTTTACTAAAGCGGGCAATTTACATACTAAAATTGGAGGCAAACGAATATCTCCACTAAAACGGTATTCATTTAATAAAAAATTAATTTAATTAATAAAACTAAAAGTAGAAAAACCAAATATTTTTCTACTGAAACAGTTAAAATGTATTATCGAAAATTACACTAACTACCACAACTCGGATAACATCACTAAACTAAATAAAACATCACTAAACTAAACTAAATAAAACATTGCTAAACTGAGTCTAACTAAAAAGGAACTGACAGGACATTATTACAACAGGCACCTTACACTGAATTGGACACTGGACAATATCCTACTCTGAACCTCACCTCTTTATACTGAACATCTGTCCTAATATTATAATAACTCTAGCACTCTCTAGCACTTACGTAAAATATTTCTATCTTCCCTCAAAACTATAACGGCCCAGCGTGTTCCAAACAAGTGGTGGAACTTTAATAGCTTCCACTGCAAAACAATTGAAAAATCAAAAGCAAAAGCAAAAGCAAAAGCAAAAAGCACCGCAAAACTACCCCGTCCAACTCGTCTACCTCTTCTGACGAGAAATCGGACGCTTCGAATACTTCTAGAGATTCAATTTTGAATCCTAGAAAGGCTGGGAAAGGGAAAGAGAGGAAAGGGAAAAAGGGTAAGGCTTTGCCGTTACCTCCCCGCACTGCAACATGGCGGTCAGCTTCAGACCTTCCTCCCGCAATTCAACAAGACATTTTGTCAACTTATGGTCACTATCAATTTTCAAAAATTTTGGACCCGCAAGTTCGTGAACACATTGGGAAACTCAAACCCTCTCATTGGACTTTACTTTTGGCAAATTCTGTGGGCAGGTGTCTTGTGGACGCCTATAACCTGATTAAACTTGTTTATGACGGTAGTAGGGCCCGTCCCAAGTACACCAGCCCGCTTAGGGAACATCTTGCCGCAGATTTACTTGCCGCAGATTTACCTGATGCTGCAGATTTCGCCCCCGCAAATTCTATTTTCAATTAAATTTATTTCATTTCTTCTTTTCATTCGCTTCTTTTTTAATCATTTTCCCTTTGTTTATTTCTTTCCATTCAATTCAAAAAACACAAAAACTAAAAAAATTTAAAAATACAAAATCCAAATACAAATTAAAATACAAAATCCAAAAAAAATAAAAAAAAACAAAATCCAAAAAAATTATTAAAAGCAAAAAACCCAAAAAAGATTGTAAGATGTTAATTAAAACGTAGAATAACTACGTAAAGCCGCAGTACGCACGCTCTACAACCTTTTAACCGGTAATTTTTAACATAATTTGATAGAAATTTTCAAAGATTGAGATAATATTCACGATCTTATAATGTTATTCATCAAACTTATTGGTTTAATTATAATCATCATACTTATTAGTTGCAATTTAGTATTACTTGATGGTTTTTCTTTGATTCTTTGTTCGTGTTATAATGCTAATCATCAATCGGATTGGTAGAATTTTACATTATTTTGTTGCAGGCTAATCCGGATCTTCACTTCACTGTGGCTCACTTCTACCTTCTTCTTCTAATGAAAAATCAAAAAAAATAAGAGGTAAATACTACCAGTTATTAATACTGAAGACATTTTGTGAATAGACACTGTTTACATGGGTCCCGTGTATATCTGAACCAATATTCTAAAACTTAATACTTTTAAAATTCGGTTTCAGATCATCATTCAACGCGTTCGATTGGACCCGTTCGATTAGACCCGCTCGATTGGACCCGGAAACGTCTCTCCTCTCATCCAGACTTTAATTGGTTGAGGTAACGCACAACGTTCTATTTTCCAATTACATTAGTAGTCAATATTACAGTATTACAGTAATTGAAC